TCCCTGGGCCATATACTCCATCAATATAATAATAATAATAATATAATAATAATAATAATAATGATAATGATAATAATAATAAAATACAACAAGAGAAAGGTTAGGGAGTGGCTTCAGCCGTCACCCTACCTTTACTCTTTATTAACTATTACGATAGTATTAAGATCTTTTCTGGAAGTGAGATTGTAGAGAGAGGAGCGGCAATGGCATGGGGAAACCCTAGCCGCCTCATCCTCTTTTTCTCTTCTTTTCTTCTCTTCTTTCAATCTTTTTTGATTTCAATAATAAAAAAACATATTCTTAATCAGTGTCTTCAATTTTATTCATGTATTTCTTTCTCAACGTTGTTTGGAGGTATTATTTTCGGTAGCGATATATCATCTACCAGATCCATATTCTCCGCCACTTTCAGTCGGGCGTTCTTGGGTGCTAAGAAGAGATTTGCACTGATCTCTCCATCAATCAAAAACATGATTTTCTTCTATGACGATATTGAGACGGATCGCCCTCCTCCTGAACCACCACCGTTCCATGAAGATGAGATCATTTGGGTTGCTTTCTTTTCGATGGCTGGTGAAAACGGAACAAATTCTACAGTTGCATCCTTACCGGTGGCTGGAGAAACCAGGATGTTTAAGAGTTCTTTTGATAATTATTGTGATCGTAGCAGGAGCACTCAATCTGCAGGTAGAGTCTACTTCTTTGCGGGATTAGCGATTCGGCGTTTTCGATTAGAATCTTCCGTTTCTATGTCTCATCCCATTGTAGCCTTAAGCTTTATGATTGTAATGTTTCTTGTCATCTTCATTAATAATAATTAAGTTATCTGTTTTAAAAAAAACTATTACGATAGTATTATTTTGATTTTCTTTTAATCCAATTCCAAATTATACTAAAAGAAAATATCAACCTTATTTAATTATAAATACATATTAATTAAGTATAATAACTCTAATTTATTTTACTTAATTAATTCTATCAAATAGAACCATTGTTCTAAAACTCGTTAGTCGCTAGTCAAGCAGTTGAGGGGCGCCTAGCGCCTAGGCAGCCGACTAGGCCGATATTTTGCCTGATTAGGCTGATTTTTTGGCCGACTAGACCAATTAGTCCTCTAGTTAGGGCCGACTAGGCCGATTAATCGGTCCGATTAGGCCGATTTTTAGAATAGTGTATAGAACTCTCCTTCAACATAATGAATTAAATATGTTTAATCTAAATAATATTTAATTCATTTCCAGTATTATGAATTAAATATAATTTAATTCCTTCTAACAATTCAATCGCAAGGTATAATCACTTCTTGTGTGACTCGTGTGGCCTTATATATTAAGCATTAATCAAATTAAGGTCTTAACAAATCCTTAGACGATTCTCAAGACAAACTTAATATATAAGGATGCTTGCGAGGACTATTCAAACTTCCCTATAATATAGAGCTAATAGTGATATTGTCCTTTCATTCAACGCACATTTAACTAAGTCTAGAACTCTCTATATTGTGTCTATTCCAATAACTTAGTCTCTATCTCTCAATCTTTCTAGATGATCCATAACGATCAAATTCGATATTCAAAACAAATATATCTTTGCATTGACCAATAACTTTATGATCCATCTAGATATGAGAAGTAGAATGATCTATCTTAATATTATGATGAACGAATCTTTTCTTGGCTCAACTACTACTCCATGTGCTTCGTGATGCACCCAACACATGTCATATTTACCCAGATTGGAGTGCAAGTGTTGGTCATGGTCAAAGTACATTACTCCACACATTAACTACTTACTGACCTCAAGTCGAAAGACTATTACACTACTTTATACGCTGATAATCTCATACAAACATGAATAGAACTTATCAAATGATTTCTCGGTGAATATGTCAGCATTCTCTGAAATATCTATGTGACTATCGTGAATTACAGAAACTCATAACCTTGAGTCCTCCAGAACGCAGCTCTCAAGCGCATACCGCCAGAGAAGGAAGAAAAGCAAAAGCATAGAAATTTCATGAATCCTTTTTTACCCTAGTTCTACATGAAGTTAGTATCACATCTTTGCATTAGCTAGCCGATTCATTTAGATAACTATATAGCGATGCACGAGGTTACCACGCCATGAAAGAATTTAAGGGATTCTTCTTCGGCAATGTATTTCAATCTCAACCGTCCATGAATTCCGAGTGCAATTTGGCTATACAACTTTTTCATGTGTTCATAATCCAAGAATATTTCTCCACCAATTCCCACTTCTTCATTCAAAATAGAGCGGCAACATCATATTTTACAATGTCATTTTATAGAAAGACCCCGAACCAGGGGAGAAAAGCACTTCAGAGTTTACATTACCCAAATGAAGAAGAAGAAACTTTCAAGAATCTACTAGATGGATGTGAAAAAAAAATAAAAGACTAATTAATGAGTAACAAAAAAGCGAGGTTCCCCAAAATTAAAAGACTAATTTATGAAAGCCAAAATTTCATAAATAGTAACTGAATCAACGGATTCAGCTAATGTGAGTGTTACCAAATAAGCTCCGCATGTATGATGCCACCATTAGAGCAACTCCAATGGGTGGAGTGCATTGCTGCAGACGTGGCAATGAAATGGAGTGAGTCTAGAGCAAATAGAGAAGTTCTATTTGGAGTGTACTCCAATGCAGGGGAAGAATAAATAAAAAAAAGATGATAATTTGGTAAAACAAAGTTGTCAGGAGGTCGGACCGAAGGTCTAGATGTAGAACTGGTGCTGACATGATCTATTGCCACATCAGATTTTGGAGGTCCATTAATCTTTGCATTGGAGAGTAAATTTGGTAAAACAAAGTGCAATTGATGACTTGGAACCCAATTGACTCTACCATTGGATTAGGTCATACACTTGTATCGTGAGATGGAGATTGCAATATACGGAGTACAACCCAATAACTCATCACAATTTATACGGTACACCCGGTTATTTTGTAAATCTTATCCACTTTGAGGTGCTTTGTAATACCTTTTATTAAGCTTCCGTTTTTTTCCAGTCATCATCTCTCGTTCATGTCTCCTATTAATCGTCTCCCAGTACGCAACAATTGATCATCTTTGTTCGAAGCTTTCATCTGTGCTCTTCGAATTTGCTCTTCGAAGTTTTCATCGTCTCCGAGTACGCAACAATCTAATCTTATTCATCTCTTTTTCGTTACAGATTTTTATCTGTTCTCTTCGAATTTGCTCTTCGAAGTTATGTACTCGTTTTTTATTTATTGCAGGTTTAGACTTAGTAGTTATGTATACTTTTCAGGTATTTTTGTAGCGACTCACTATATTAGTATGATTAGCTGATAAAACATTATGGTATTTTAATTTAACTTTTGGGAAAACTATCAAATAAGCCCTCGTACTATACCGAAAAAGTTGATTAGGCCCTCGTACTTTACATACACTCAATTAAGTCCTCGAACTATTAAAAAACGTTCAATTAAGCCCTTTCGATCAGGAAGTAACCGGTTTCTCGGTTAAATGTAACCTGTTTACCGGAAGCCGCCGTTGCTGGGGTTCGAGCACATCGTCGCCATCATCGTCGTTTAACCGGGAAATCGGTTACTTACCCACCAAAAGGGATTAATTGAACGTTTTTTAATAGTTCGAGGACTTAATTGAGTGTTTGTAAAGTACGAGGGCCTAATCGACTTTTTCGGTATAGTACGGGGGCTTATTTGATAGTTTTCCCTTAACTTTTTAATGAGCATTTAGTCTATGTATTTGTTTTATCCTTTTCCAGAAGAAATTGCTTTTATTGGACAGTTAATTCAAGACATTGAATCCAGAGGCGAAATACTTAAACTTTATTCAGGTAATTCCTTTGGTTTTGTGTTATTATCTTTTTCTTTGTTCTAATTTTATTTACACCTTTTTACTTTTTTTCCCCTTTTCCCTTGATCGAGATCATTTTATTTTAGCTTCAACTATTGTTTTTTTGCAGCTAACCATCCTTCTAGCAGTTTTGATTCTATACCACAATCTGATTCTTCCCTTTTAGTTAAAGAAGCTGAAGTTTCTGAGCTTCTTGGAAAAACTGTTATGCCAAAGAAAGAATTTTTTGATTTGTATAATGAGTATGATTTTAGGATTGGCTTTGGCGTTCGTTATTCTACTCTACGGAAGAAAGAAGGTGCTGTGATGTTAGAGGCAGAGAATTTTGTTGCACTAAACAAGGTTCTAAGAAAAATAAAGGTGTACAGGGTAAGGTATTCACCAAAGTTGATCGTCGTACAGGTTGCAAAGCAAAAATTTATTTTGAGTTTAGAAGCAATGGTGAATGGGTTGTGGTTAGACATCTTATGGATCACAATCACTCTTTCTGTCCTGGTTCTTTAGTTCATCACGTGAGGTCTCATCGTGATGTTTCTTCTTCTGAGTTGACATATTTGAATCATTTGAGAAATAGAGGAGTAAAAATAGCTGACGGTCTCAGATGCTTCTGCATTGTCATGCTCTTCTGCGTTTAACATCATTTGATGCTCGCTCACTAAGTCCATCCTTGTTTTCAATGCTCAAAGACAAATAAGTTGATGCTTAAACTCTCGGTTCTCGCCAACTCCAGCAAAAACTCCGTCAGTAAATGCACAAAAACTACGGCAAAAACTCCACCAAAAACTCTGCCGGTTGTCCTCGTTTTTTGAGCTCAAATACGGCGGCCATGAATGCTAGCGTCTTTTTGCGAACAATTGTTAAGAAAGCAGTTCAATTTTTGAGAGGAGTTACTTTTCCGTTTTTGTATTAATTGTTTCAATTGCTACTTTACCCGGTAAAATTATGGACCACTTTTGTTATGGGCTGTATCTGTTATTGGACTTTTTGTTTAATTGGACCGGATGTATATACATTCGGGTGTAGGATATACGGACCGCTCATTGCAAATATGCATGAAATTCCACGTGGACCAATCACATCCGGGATACCCTTATCCAAATAATACGTCATTCCTCCACCCTGATCTAAAATGTTTCCTAGCTATTCCCCGTTCGCACATTATTCTCTTCCTCCTTTTCAGTACAACGACTATAGATACAGATACAGAGAGGGCAAGCTCCTGCGGCCATGGCTTCCACACAGTGCTTCTACTTGCATCACCATACTCTCTCAATATCAACTAGGTCATCATCATTACTGTATCGCCACTGTCCCATCCTCAGGCCTCGCCAACTTGTCTGCCGGGCGCAGAAGCAGTCCGCCGCGACTCATGAAGACCTCGGCGAAGCACTCGCCGTCTCTCGCAGATTGGCTCTTATCTCCCTTGTCGGAGCTGCCGCTGTTGTCTCCAAGGTTTCCCCCGCTGGCGCTGCCTATGGAGAAGCCGGTACGTGCTTGTTCACGAGGGGGATTTTCTTAGAAAATCTCAATTTGTATAATCGAAATTATGATCAAAATATAGTCATATGGACTTGAACAAATGGTTTGATTATCACCCGATGGGTGAAAATTGAAAAAACATCCGAATTGTATTCATTCAAAGTTTTATGCGCACTACTGTTAGCTTAAGTAAGCTAATAATCTCATCAGTTTAAATCTAATTGTTGGTGAGGACGGTATTGCCCATCCTTAACAGTCTCAGGACGTTAACCAGCAAATGTTGATGGTGGATTGCAGCCAATGTTTTCGGGAAGCCAAAAACAAACACGGAGTTCTTGCCGGTGTCAGGCGATGGTTTCAAGCTCCAGGTTCCATCGAAGTGGAATCCAAGCAAGGAAATTGAGTATCCTGGTCAGGTTCTCAGATATGAAGACAACTTCGATGCCAACAGCAATGTGTGTGTATTGATCACCCCAACAGATAAGAAGTCGATCACTGACTATGGCTCCCCTGAAGAATTCCTATCTCAAGTAAATCGGTTAATTTGCTCTGGTCAATGAAGTATAGGTGTTTATTCCCATGATCTGATCATTGTTTCATTTCTCCAGGTGGACTACTTGCTGGGCAAGCAAGCCTACTCTGGAAAAACCGAGTCTGAGGTGAGTTACAAAGCCCATCTCCCGTGACATTGGCATGTAGAGATGTTATTTAATTTATATGAACAAAGAGGGAAGAGAGACAGATAATGTCATCTATTTTCTATATAACAAGGTCTAATAATGGAACTCACATAGAAAAAATTGAGATGAAAAATCTGCTAAAAGTGGTAAACAATAATGAACCTTAAGATGATTTAGGATACATCATAGATATGTTCTACACTCCTACATGAAAAAAGTTGTGACATAAAAGTGGGCCTCAGACTCGATCTCATGTGTAAGAGAGTCAACAAAATGGACTCCATACCATTGGGAAGCTCTTAGGTCTTGATCTTTTTTATTGAATATGCTGTTTAAGCTTGGTTTGGAATGATTAAGTCATGAATGTGTGCTATAATTTATTCTGGCCTGTTTGTATTTTGCCAAGTTCAATGTTACCTCGATTATCAGTAAGCAATGATATGTTTTGCTGTAATAATAAGATGTTGTTTGTAAGCAGTTGCTTCTTTGCTTGGTCAATTGGTAAAATGTTGGTCATAAATTTCCTGTAATTGGTTTTAGTCTGGGCACCGAAAAATAATTCTCTTAGGTTGATTGAATTTTAAAGCTGAAGTTTAGTCTCTTTAGGCTTGTTTAGTTCATTTTGGTCCATTTAAATTTAGTCCTATATGGTTTATTTTTAATTGTAATATTTGTTGCAATCTCTTTAGTCTGGCATGATCTTTTTAATTTTGTGCGGTCTATTTGTGCCTAATCAATCTGAGTGATTTATTTATGTTTGGCATCTCTACTTTAGGTTTAATCTAACCTGGGGTCAAAACAAGCGGAGATGGTCTTTCTGATGTCAATTAGCAAAGGAAAAAGTTTATCTAATATAAGTAAATAGATCAGAAAATTGTAAAATCAGTTCAGTAATTTAAGATGGAAGGTGATATATTTAGTTTCATATTTTCACAGTTTTGTCCTGGGACTGGGAAACTGGAAATGATTTTAGTCTGTTACAATGAGGTTACGCGAGTGTTTAAGGGCAAATTAAGTGAATTCCCACAAAAGCAGTCTCAGAAGTGCTAGGTTTTCAGTGGGGTACATGATTAAAATTACCACCTTGTAAAACTCCGTAATTATAGAGACTAGCCCTAGGTTATGGACTAGGTTTGCAATTTCCCATATATGCATTAGATTAGATTGGTAATGCAAAATGGAGTGTTTGGCAGGGAGGATTTGATCCTAATGCTGTGGCCACCGCAAACATATTGGAGACATCAACTCCGGTGGTGGAAGGGAAGCAATACTACTTTATATCCGTCTTGACGAGAACAGCCGATGGGGATGAAGGTGGGAAGCATCAATTGATCACTGCCAGTGTTTCTGATGGAAAGCTTTACATCTGCAAAGCACAAGCAGGTGACAAGAGATGGTTCAAGGGAGTGAAGAAGTTTGTAGAGAACACTGCCAACTCTTTCAGCGTGGCTTGAGGTTGTTTGGGCTGTGTACGTAGTAGCTAGTAGTGTTGGTTATTTTGCATTCAAACCTCTCACTGGATTAAAACTTCCCCATAAAGTATATTGCATCCCATAATGTGGAGAATTGCATAATCGATCAAACCTCTCACTTCAGTACTATTGCATCCTATTTTAACTTTTTAAGTTTTTAACCAAGTTCTTACCACACTAAACAGGCTGTAGAAGTTTATATCACCATCAAAGATATGACCCCTGATTGATCAAACAAGAAACTGCAAGTAGGAGTTCGCTTTTATTGCTCGGAAATGGACAGAAATGGAAATACATAAATTTAGCAAAAACGCTAATATGATTTATGTGAGTGATATTTAAGGAAACAGAAAACCATTGTAAAGGAAAGAGTTAAAGACAAAGATAAATAATGAAATTAAAATGCATGAAAGAAGAATAAAAGAAGAAAAGTAAGAAAGAAAATGCAAACTTGTGTGAAAATCAATCTTGATCATCCCTATGTATGCCTACTAGTCGATGCCTAAGTGACATCATTTAATGTTAGGTGAGGTGATAAGCCATGACGATTGTCATCCACCACCTGAACGAAAGAAGAAGAGTCTCCTCAGAAGAGATGATCAGTCATAGAGAAGAAATAATGTATAATTACAGGGGAGGAAAAACGATAGGAATATGGATAGTTCGGGAACATATGTTAATTATGATATAATCGTCTATATACATTTGGTCGGTGGAATCTCCCACCCTAGGAGCTCCCCATATCCCGACCCGACAGGATTTTTGGGAAGATGTTAATCACGGTGACTCAGTCGGCCCAATGATGGTAGACCCTTTTCCCGTACGCACCAGAGGTCCAGCCTTATTTCAGGTTCTGTGACCTCCACACGACCGCTGCGGGTTTCGAACCTTGGTCATTTGGTCCAAATTTTCCACCACTGAACCAACTGAGCTACCCGTCCGGGTTAATCATCTATATACAAACACTAGGGATGGTGACATTTTGGTTCAACCCATTTGTCATTAGTAGCTAGTAGTTGTTACCAGGGGCGGATCCAAGAACGAGATGTGGGGTAGGCTAAGCAGTAAAAAAGTTGTTACTACACACAAAATGTTTAATTTAGGGTTGTTATCGAACTAAGCTTTTTTTGAACTACTCGAGTTTGAACGTGATTTCAAATTTAATTTAATGACTCAAGCTTAACAAGCTTCAAAGTCAAAAACGGCTAGATTTTCAGTTCGAATAGTTATTCAAGCCGAGTTTGAGCTTAGTGATGTCCGGTTCAATCCGGGCTTGACCTATCGTTAACTTATAAATCATAGCAATAAATTAAACCGTATATAACTTAAAATTTAAACTTTTTTAGTTTGATTTTATAAATTTATTAATGATTATTAAAGATTCTAGTATTTCAAATTTCAATTGAATTTTTTAACTATTTCTTACATGTCCACACAATAAATAAATTATTCTCTAATCTTCAATTGTATAATAAATAAATCATTCACTAATATTTAATTTGATCTTTAATCATTTTTTGGAAAAAACAATTTATTATTAACCATTATAAATTTATAATGAATAAACACTATTTTATTATGTACTGAAAAATTCAATTAAGAATCAAATAGATTTACAAAACTAAAAAAAATACATAATAACATAGTCACAAAATAATACAATGTTTCACATATAAAACACAATGACACAATCGCTCCAGGTCCTCGGTTCATCAAATATTCAAATAGATTAACAATGTTTCACAAAATAATACAATGCTTAACAAATAATGCAATGTTTAACAAATAATACAAGTTTAATCAAGAAAAATAGTGTAAAAGAATATTTGAATTTAGAGTATACATAGAGATAGAGGCAGAGCCACAAAGGGCAGAGTCGGACTCGAAGAGCCGGAGAGGGAAGACGGCCGACATAGGGCCTTGGACGTGTGGACGGCGGGCGGTGGCTCAGCAGTTGACCAGAGGTCGGATGGTGTTCGTCTTTGGTGTCTCCGTCGCAGCTCCGCTACTCCCTCTTTCACCTTCGTGCTTCGCAGCTCCGTCGCAGCTCCGAACTTCTGATTGCAGGTTTGCTTGAAGTAGTTAAGTGAAATAGTTGATAATAGGATTGGATTGGACTGGGAATTAATTTTGGGGTGAGCTAGGAGTTAATTTTGGGATGGGCTGGACATTAAATTTATGCATATACTAATTAAAAAAATAAAAATTGGGTTGGGCTGGAGCCCACCCCTGCCCACACAAGGATCCGCCCCTGGTTGTTACCGATCAATTCTTTGGTCACACATATAAACGCGAGGACAAAAGGGAGCAGAGACAATTGGCAATCAAATTGGCTAAGTAAAAGATCAAGCAAGCTGTGAGAGTCATATTAGTATTAGTATTAATTAAGTAGTCCTGCTTTAATTAGTATTCCTTTATTAGAGTTCTGTTAGAATAAGCAACTTAGTTCCCTAATTGTTTTAGGAAACCCTTAATATCTATTTCAGGGGATCCCGGTAATTTTAATAAACAGCTTTTGGTTAATTAATTATGAGATCTCTTGACTAGGTCAGAGACCAGTAATTATACGATTAAGCATCTAGTTTTCGTTCTATCTATTCCCAGTCCGTTAAAATAGCTTCAAGTACTTCATCGCATACATGTGGCCATTCTCGTTCACGTCCTTGGATGAGGTCGCTAACTCACACACTTAACAACTTGGTATCAGCTTCTGGGACGATGGGGACATAGTCTACTTCTGCGGAATCCTTGAAAACCATGATTGAGAGCGTGGATCAACGACAACTGGATCTGGAACAACAATTAGCTGATTTGCAGACAGCTATGGCGCAACTGGCCACCGTTCTGGCGGCGATGGAGGCTCTATCCGCAGCGGTGCACAAAGCAAACGCGGAAACTTCTTCTAGTTCACCCCAAGTCGAATGCAGACCACCACGCCATGACAATGAAGAATCCTTAATTCGCAGATTTTCGAAGCTTGAGTTTCCACAGTACGATGGGGAAGGCAATCCCCTGTCATGGCTCAAAAGGTGCGAGAGCTTCTTTATTCAGCAGCGAACCCCCACACAAGCTCGCGTAAGTCTGGCTACCTTCCATATGACCGGCACCACACAATTATGGGCTAATCAATTGGATACGGGCACTTCACCATTTTCTTGGACCGACTTCTACAGTTGATGCACAAAACGCTTTGCCCCACCAAGTAGATCGAACCCAGAAGGCGATATGCAAAACTACGACAGACTGGCGAATTGGAAAATTGTATCGAAACATTCCAACAAATGTTGGCTTGAACTGTGGGAATTTTTATCCGGATGCAAATAAAAATATTCACCGTCGGGCTGCGTGAGGTTGTACGCATGGAGGCTGAATACCAGGATCCTCTTGACCTGGATTCTGCAATGATGCTGGCCAGGACCGTGGAGCGCAAATACAATGTAGGCTATTCTTCGTCTGCCCTACCGATACGGCCACAATCAATTGCCCGTTGAGAATCAGTTCTTACTTATGCAGAATCAAATTTACCTCGGCGCATCTCCAATCCACACTTCAAAAAAAGTTTGTGGGCAGAAGCTGCAATTCGCAGAGAAAAGGGCCTATTTATAACTATGACGACCCATGGGTTCGAGGCCATCAATGCAAGAAATTATTCTTTATCGACATTATAGAAGATGACCAGTCCAAAGAGCAGTTTGAGCCAGTCCTATCTCTTCATGCTATGACTGGAATCGGCTCCACTTCTACCATGCAGTTAGCCGCCACCCTTAATAACATAACCATCACAGTTCTGGTGGACTCTGGTAGTACCCATAACTTTATCCATCAAAGATTACTTGCAGACAGTAAACCTTCAATGCCACATAAATCATGTCGTCATGTTCTAGTAGCTAATGGAGATCGGGTACCTATTTTGGGCACATGTCCTCGCCTTGACTTTTTAGTAGACGGAAGAACATTTACAGGTGACTTTTATGTGCTTCCATTGGCCGGGTTTGATATGATATTAGGCGTTCAGTGGCTTTGCAATCTTGACACCATTGAATGGGATTTTTCACGCCCTTTCATGCGCTTCAGATGGCAGAACACACCCTTGGAATGGCATGGCCATGCTAGCACACCTACACTTCAGGCCCACATGATGACCACATCATCTCCTATATTGGAAAGCCTCCTTGACCAATTTGAAGACATTTTCTGTTTGCCATCTGGACTGCCACCTACACGTGCGTGTGATCATAAGATCACGTTGTTTCCATGAACTAGCCCGGTGGTTGTTCATCCTTACCATTACCCCTACTTTCAAAAAGACGAGATTGAGCGGCAATGTTCTGACATGCTCCAACAAGGTATCATCCGGCCAAGTTGATCTCCCTTTGCATCACCCGTCCTTCTTGTTAAGAAACCTGAGGGCGCATGGAGGTTTTGTGTTGACTACAGAGAACTCAATTCCAGAACTGTTAAGGACAAGTTTCTGATTCCTGTCATCGACAAGTTGCTGGACAAACTTCATGGATCCAAATTCTTTACAAAACTTGACTTGCACTCAGGCTACCATCAGATCCGCATGTCATCGACGAGTTGCTGGACTTGGGTCTAGTTTTTTGTTGTTTTTTTTGTATTTTTTCTTGTTTTTGTTCTCTGTACTTTTTTACTTTTATTTGTCTTCTTGCACTGTACTTTTACTTTATCTGAATAAAATCTTCTTTTTCCAAAAAAAAAATACATGGCTGCACGGACCACTTCTATTTATAGCCCAGATAGAGTAAGTGGGCTCCTTCAATTCTCTATCAAAGTATTTTGTTAATTAATTGGTAGCCGCAGGATCACGTCTCATCTTTTGGGTCCACCACTTCGATGAGCATCGCCGAATTATCGGGAAGCGTACAAGTGTCAAACTTGTAATTTTGGTGAAAATCACAGATTCTCTTTACATGAGTATTGAATCTATTTTGATGAGCAACAAGCCTCTTCTTTTGAGTATTAGGAGTCTAACGGTGAACATCAGTTATATCTGCTTCGTTACTCATATATCACATTCTGTTTATTATTTTTTCGTTTATTAAAAATTTTAATCCAAAATGAGCATACATAACTTACAAATTAGTATCAAATAATTAAAAAGTTCATTTGTGTGTGCTCATTCATTTTGGACGTTATAGTCATTTGAGTTTAACATAAAACTCATTTCTAGTGTGCTCAATATTCATTTGTATATGTTCATTTTGTGTAGCCGTATAATCATTTGAGATCAATAGCAACAAAGATTTCTTAGCAACGAATTAGACTCCTATTGTAATATTATACTTTTAAAATATGAATGAATATGACATTTTAAAATGAGTATTACACTAATATCAAATGAGTATACATAAATTACAAAATAAGCATTCATAAAACTCATTTTAAATGTGTACTATGCTCATAATTTCATTTATTATGCTCACATTTGAAGAGTTACATATAACTTAGATTTCTCTAACCTGTGGCCAACAAGTGACCAAACTCACTCACCAAACTTAAGTAAAAAAAGAGAAAAAGGAAGAGTCCAAAGCAAAAAAGAGGGAGAAGAAGCAACCAGGGCTATACACCAGGTGCTGCGCAGGAGACACCTTCAAGTTGGAGTTTGAGGTGATGCGCTCGTGCTGGAGAGTTGTGGCTGTTGAGAATCGTCATCTGTAGGCGGCGAGCGAAAGACAAGCAATGAGAACGATCTGTGAACTGCGATGGAAGCCTGCGAACTGCGATGGAAGCCCAGCGACCTGCGATTTGTGAACTAAAAGGCCGTATGTACCGTGCGCATGGTACAACCGGTTGTACGATGTAATTTACCAATTATTGGGGGTAATAATTGCATGGATAATATCATACATAGTACTTCATACGAAGTATGTTCCATATATATTGATTACTCCATATAATGTTTTTATTTGAGACGATT